AAAAATACTCTAAATGAATGTTGCTGGATGTGTAAATAGGCAGCTGTTGTTAACAATAAGAACTTTATAAGAGGTCATGCTGTGTTTGTTGTGTACTCCAGTGCACACGTGGTAGCTCTAATAAAACATTTAATTTTAAGGCACTAACAGTGTAAATTAAATGTGCACATCATCTTTGTAGGAGAGCTGAATCCTCTGTTGAGCATTTATAGTAAGGAGATCAATAATTGTGTTATAATGTGTTTCCCTCAACGAATAGGTCACATCAGCTGCGCGTACTTTTCTGCAGCTCATAAGAATACAACCGCCCACACACGCACATAAACAATGGTGAAAAAATTTTTTTTCACATGTTTCTCATAATATTTTATGATTTGTAATTAAGTCTATAGACAAATGTAGAGCTTTGATTTGTCATCATGCCGCTTAAAGTTAACATTAACCACACTGAATTGTCTTTTCACTTGGGACAGACCAGGCTTCAAAGCATTCTGGCTATGGCTTAAATTAGTGATGTCATTATAGGTGTGTTGCCAAAGACCTCTGATGGAAAACATGGAGTAAATCCATTGTTATATTTTTTACTATGGCACCTCTAGCTGAATGGGGAGAGGGGCTCATCCTTTGAATTTCCTCTCATCAAGTTCCCATTTCCTTCCTGTTCCCATTTCCAGAGTTTGTCTTTTGAGAGAGCTTTAGTTCGACCTTAAACTGATTTTGTTGTGATGCTGCATGTAATATTGGGCTACACAAATAAACTTCAACGTTGATCATATTACATGTTAAGGTTCAAAGTTTAGTCACGACCTTGGATATAGCAGGGGGAAAAAATGGACCTCAAGGTCCAATTCAGTGGCTGTTCAGGATTGGTTTGCACCAGCTATTCATATCCTTTTGAATTCCTACCCAAGCTTACAGACAACAAGCTAGATTCAAACTACTAATTCACTAAATTGGGTTGCACCATTAAAAAGAAAGAAACGGTTTAGCAAGTAAAGATTTTAGGAATGTGTAAATCAGCTGCTACAAACTATCTGTAGAGCGGTCCAATCAAAAGCAATAAAATATGTAAACAGTAAATCATTGTAGCATCATGAGCTGGGACAGAACTTCCTAAAATAATAGGATTATAAATAGGTTAAGTTTAAACTGACGAACAGCTGGTACAACTGAGACACAATGGTGGATTGGTGTCACAGTGGGGAATTGAATACAGGTCTCTCACACCAAAGGAATGTGTCTTATCCACTGCACCATCACCACACCTACATCCCCTATATCCTCTTCCATCTTTATCAGCGGGTGGACTTTTTTAGTTGTCATGACGGGTGTTCAAATTACCTTTTTTTGAACTGAACGCATTAAAGATTAACGTTCAAAATTCAATCTTGACCGTGGAAACAGCACCTGACAACCTCAAGGTCCTTACAGCGGGTTAAGTAATGTATAAACTCATACCCAAAATGAAATATTCATATAGAAAAACAGTTTTTCTATAGAGAGCCAAGAGAGGAGCTATGCTGGCCCAGCTTGGACTTCTACTCCTAAAAAGCCTGGACAAAATGGGACTCATATTGACCAGACGGAATTCAGAGAATGTTGTGCCCACATTGTTACAGAGGCCTGCCCCATCTACATCCCAGCAGGTGGTCCATGTTCCAGCAAGATGAAAGGAGGTGGACAAACACAGTCAAGATGGACTCTGTTTCCCAAATGTCAGACTTTTTAATGTGAAGATGAAATTTTCATTTTATCATCTGGTTGCTGCTGTTTACGTTCACCCCAGATGCAAATACAAAAAATGCGCTATGGAATGTTTGGGGTGTATAGGTATGTATATATATGTATATAAATAACTGTATATATTGTTTTATTGTATTTTATTTTATATATGTTGCCATATTTTATTATAGGCCTACACTTGTTGTGTGTGTAGCACGAAGGAACTCGTTTAGTTATGCCGCCTTGTGCTGTATAATGACTAATAAACAACCTTGTACCTTGTAGAAAAACAGTTTTTCTGCAACCATCGTCTAGCATTCGCAGGTTGCACTGCAGCAGAACAGTAACCACGGCAACAATCAGCCTCTGGCCAGCCATCAACAGTTTAATCAACAGCAAATTAAATGTAAAATTAGAAGAATCTTCCACACCCAAGTTGATGTTTGTTGGTGGGAGTTTCATCCTATCACATGAGCAGGTCTTTCAGATAAAGGGGGCACCAAACAACTTGAGAGGAAAATGCCAGCGTCCCTGCATCCAACCAGTAGCAGCCTGAGCACATTAATAGAGTTTGAGAGAACAACACGAACCAGCCTTCCAGCTCCCCGGTCTACCACTTATTTTCCTCACTGCCATAAGTTGAAGGAGCAGAAAGAGCAGATGACTGCTGAGCAGGAAGGAGATTCATTTTGCGCTGTAAGTGGAGCAGAGCTGATGGCTGCAGAAAAGGGGCAATAGTAGGGGCACAAAAGGATGTCATCTGGAGGGTATTTTTAGAGTGTGAGGTGCACTGATAACCGGCTGCCATTCTAATCTGCCTGCAGGTTCCCAGCAATAATAACTGCTCTCATTCTGCAGATTCACTCAGAGTGAAATCCTCTCATGTAAAGAAACACAGGCAGGCTGATTGACTCTCTTCTACACATACACATACCGGCACATACTAAAAAATATAGACATTCATAAGTGACAAAACTAAGTAAGCACAAAAAACTCATTTAAGCTGTCAATGTGCAGTTCAAGATTCTAGAAGAGAGAGAAGGACAGATTTGTGGGTTTTGGGAGTAAACTTTTGGCCTGGTCTGGGCTCGGAAGTCGCTTTGGATAAAAACGTCTGCCAAATGAGTAAATGTAAATGTAAATGTTTCGTCAAAAAAGATGAAATACTAGAACTCCCGTTGAAGAAGGTTCTATGAGATTTCTAGTCAAATTATTATTTCAGCCATCAGTTATGTTCAAGATCTTCGGGGTAGTAACCAAATGAAAGACTTTGTGGATGTAGGTAGTCAAAGTATGTTTTGCAGGGTGTCTGGCGTCACCTTCAGATTATCATCTACACAAAGTTGTGTAGAACTGGTCACAACTGGAAGACATTTGCAACCAATAAGAGGGGTTGCAGGTAGAAATTATTTGGATTTTAAGGTGTCACCTGCTCCAAAAACTGGGAACCATTGGGTTAAAGGACAGGTTTTTTCAAGTCTATCTTACAGCTTAGGTAGGCAACGTTAGAGACCAGATGGCTAGATATTGAAACTGAAAAAATCCCACCGTCTCCCTTCTGTCCTCCCTCAAAACACATTTTTATGCGCAGTGGGTTTACTAGCATAGTGCATGCAGGTAGGCAAGCCAATCATATCATTCAGGCTGAAAGAATATTGGCTGTGCAGTCCTGCGACACAGATCCCAGATCAGAGCCTTTGATTTCTTGATTTTATGTAAAGAGAATTTCAACAAATATAACAAAAATGCTTCTAAAATGTCTGGATTGCCTCCCTGCAGAGGCATACACAGGAAGGTATCCTGGTCAAATCAAAATGGGAATAGACCCTACATAATCAGAACTCACTAAAGAAATTACATATCATCTAATCTGCAAACTCCTGTTAGAGCACATGGCTGGAAAGAAAGATGTCTACTTCTCCTACTACCACTGCAACCCAGAAATGTGACAGGAAATAAATGGATGGATGGATGGACAGATGTACATTTTAGCAGACTCTAAGTACTTTAGATTAGGAGATGAAATGTTCTTTCAGTTAGGGTCTAATAGGATTGCATTTCACCTCCAGGTCAAATCAAATGGATTTTACTACTTGCAAAATGCAAAACACAGCATGCAGCTTTGAAGATACCGAGCAAAGTACACATTTCGTCTTGGATCAAAACCCTGCAAACCTTGACTTGCAGATTATTTATGCTCAGTAGTTTCGCCATTAATGAGCTTCAGTACTACTTAGTACAGCTTAAACATACGGTAGGACCTCATACGATTAATTGCCATACTTGCCTAGAGCTGAAACAGCAAGAAATTGTGCATTTTTATTCAAGCAATAATTGCAAACATTCTCATGTTACAGCTTCTCAAGTGAAGAAGCTTTTCTCTGCTTTACATCATTATAAACTAAATATTTTTGGGGTTTGGGACTGTTAATCAGACAAAACAAGACATTTAAATAACTTGTAGGAGTTTTTTTTTCACTATTTTTTGACATTTAGTAGCAGCCATACTCTCAGAAATCAGATTCAGAATTAGAAATACTTTATTGATACCTGAGGGGAAATTCTCTTGCTACAGTGGTTTACTTTGCATGTCAAGATATTAAGGAATATAAATAAAATAGAAGCAGGTAAGTAGAAAATATAACAAAAAATACAAATATAAATATAAAATAACAAAATAAGAAGTGTGGATATGATAAATAGTAGTAGAGAATTATATACAAATAGCAATAATAATGAGTACAGGCAGAGTTGATCTGGAAAGGATGAAATCAACAACAGAATGTGGCATAGAGAATATTGCATGTTATTATTACTCGTCTATCACATATAGACAGTGGCATTTACTACAGCATGCTCTGTGAATATAAATCCTTGGATAAATGCAGTCTATAATGCATTCATATAGCTACATTTTCTCTCACATGCAACAGTCATCTACCTGCTTTCAGAGTTATTTTAGGGGCAATAGCACCACCTGCTGTTTACATAAAGAACCTAACATGCTGCTTTAGCTGGTTTAAAATTATTTCTAAAGGTAGAAACCTGTAGAAATAATTTTAATGTTAATGTCATTTTCTCTTACATTTTCTGTACACCCTTATATGTTGATATTTGCATAGTGAAATATCATGCTCACTTTGCGGCTTTACAACTAAGCAAACTAAACAACAACTGCTCATTCTGTCGGTATAGTATTTTCTAAAGATAACCTGCGACTTTCACATCCTGCACTCAGTTAAAAACGAAACACGTGACTCGGGACGTTAGCGCGCACAGCGGAAGTGGGCGAACCGTCTCAAACAGACATGACGTGTTTGCTAGCGAGCAGCAGCGCGATGTTTTCCTTAACACGGCAAACAAAACGCCGCTCATGGATATGCTTTTTATCCCTGGTGGTTTATTTAACGTCGCTGCCAGTTTCGGCAAAGCCGGGCAGCCTCAGAGAAGTGACCGACGGCAACTGGGAGGAAATCCTGACGGGAGAATGGATGATTGAATTGTCAGTGTCCCGCTAACCTCCACTGCTAACGGCTAACCTGCTAGCTAGCTTGTCCGTTAACTAAGCTATTTTGAGCTCGTAGAAACGGGGCATTATTGGAGTCAGGCTTAAATGTTGTCTTATCTTATTGCTGTATTGTCTTTCTGTCATTTAGTCCAGAAAAGCTGCTAAAATGTCTAGCTATGCTAAGAACTGCCATCTTTTATCTAACCAGATAACCATAGAGTTGTATGATAGCCAGGATGCTAAATAACATGCTAATAAAGTAACAGTCAGGTCACCAGCACGTTTCAGCTTTTACACAGTGGTTATTTACACGTTGGTGTGAGTTGATTGTGCAGTATATCTGAGGACTTACCTGTTAAACTTGATAACCCCTCAGCTACGCACCCTGGTGTCCAGCATGCCAGCAGCTCCAGCCGGTGTGGACGGAGTTTGCGGACTGGGGGGAGGACATGGGGGTCAACATAGCCAAGGTGGACGTGACAGATCAACCTGGTAGGCCTGAATGCTCTTTTCCCTGTTGGCAGCTACACCGTGACTTCTACCTACATAACAAAACAAATTCTGTTATAACTAGCAGGACAAAATAGCCAAAACAAGTTACAGCAGCTCTTCAGTAAACACCAGTTAGATGAGGCTTATAATGTACAGTTTTTATGGTTATGATGTGTTTCTAAAACTTTAGAAATACATCTCAGTATAATGCAATAAAAATCGCCTTAAAGTCGAGTCAACACTTCTCTAAAGCAGTTCAGACAAACCTGATCATAACTTAAATGAAGGCAGGATTTATTGCATAGCTGTGGAGCTAATAAATTGCAACTGTGTTATTTAGTAGTGTTTGTCAAAGATACACCAGCAATTCAAATTTGCATTCAAATCTTTGTACTACTTTAATATTATGAGCTACTCAGTTTTATTCCAATTAAGTGTCAAATCCTCCCTCTCTGTAAATATAAATTAGTAACATAATGTTGAAATATTATTTATATATATATATATATGATATGCTATGCTTTCTGAAAAATCTATTGAGACTGTGTATAAACAGTCTGTTTTTGACAAGTCCATGAAATTAAATGAGTCTCTATTCAAAGTTTTCCATTACACAGATGCCAAAATCATATAAAATCCAATATTGCAGACATTATTTCAGCCCATCTGCAAGTCTGAAATTCCTTTCAGATTGTTCCTTCCTGCACATTGACTGTACTCATCTCCTCCCTCTGTAAGGTCTGAGTGGGCGATTCATCATCACTTCACTTCCTACTATTTACCAGTAAGTTCTTGGTTATTTTGTGGTTTTAATGCTTCCTTTTGTGGGGCTGCTTGTGTAATGCTGCTGTGCACCGTTGATCAAATGGATTTAACTAGAATCTCATGCACTTTTAGATCACAAATTCTCTGTTCTATGAAATCTTGTATTATGTCACATTAGCTTTTTTTAAAAATCTTTTTGAATGCCTAATTATTAATAAGGAGAAAAACTGTGAGTTATTAAAATATGCCACATGTGGGGTTAACATTATTAATTTAAACTGTTAAACTATATCAGCCATTCAATCTATAACATGTCTAGAAATAGTGAAAATGTAGATTAAAAGTTGTTTAACCAAAAATAATCTAATTAGTGATTAAACTAATGGAATTATATAAATGGAGAAAAACAAATTCCCTTTAATGAGAAGGTCAGTTCTCACTGTCAGACCAAATGTATAACCAGCATTAATCAGTAACAGAAAATCACTTATTAATCAGTGTGTAACAGCAGGCTGTGAAGCAATATCGCCTACAGGCTTTTCAATGAATCTTGTTATGGCAGTTTCCTTTGCTTTGTCATTGTAAAAGAAAATTTAGTTTTTAAAAAAAACAACAACATATATCTTCAAACTTCAGATTGTGGTTATATACTATACACAAAATGCATGCTTGCGCCCTAATTTAGTTTGCTCATATTACCATGCATTTAAACTGTTTGCTTCATTGCATATATATACACACCACTGGACTATGGTCCATTTTGCTCAGGATCACAACAGCTAAACACACACATTTATTTTTTGATTATGTGTCAGTGTGTAAGATTCCCATAGAAAATGTTGGTAGGGATGAAACAACACACTGCTTCTAAAAGTGACTGAAATGTTTGTGTTCCAGCTGTAAGGATGGCGTCTTCCGGAAGTACCAGGGAGCTCGCACTAAAGAGGACTTCCTCAGCTTCATTGATGAGCAGAAATGGAAAGCAGTGGAGCCAGTTTCCTCTTGGTTGGGGCCATCTTCGTTTCTGTGAGTTTACAGTCATGATAATGAGAGGGGGCGTCATGATTTTCCATTCCCCTTGAAACATTATATTATATATATTTGGATTGCCCAGCCGTAAGCATACAGTCTTTTACTACTTTCAGCTTTCCACAGTAATACCAAAAAAGTACTTTCTAATCATAGTGTTGTGACAGCTTTGTATCATGGTTGTATTTCTTTTTGAAATAACAGAAAACAATATCAGATACCTGCCTGTTAGTTCTTTTCTTATAACAGTTCTGTTGGTTTAAAATAAGAACCACAAACATCCCCCCTCCTGTCCCCTCCTTGTTGTTTTTTGTGTGTTCAGGCTTTGTAGTGATGTTACAGTTTGACAGAATTGTATTAAATTACATGCTGTCATTTCCTCCCCTTTTGGCAGAATGAATTCGATGTCTGCTTTGTTCAAGCTCTCCATGTTTATCCGGGTAAGTGCGGATTTCACTTTTGGTAGTGCTGACTGTCGACCGTGTAGGTTATTATTTGTAGGAAGGTATTTATTTAATTTTGTGAAAACTGCCTGAGGAAGTCTAACTGGTGTCTAGCTGGTGTGTGTGTGTGTGTGTGTGTGTATGTGTATATATATGTGTGTGTGTATATATATATATATATATATATATATATATATATATATATATATATATATATATAAACACCAGGCAGTTTTCACAAAATTAGTTTTACGCATAACGTCATTCATAACAGCATCAGGTAGTGTGATTTTTATGAAACATATAATGTTTTTTAATGCCACTGGCTGAGACAAAAAAAATAAGCAAGTGTCTCGACTTACTAACATTACTGTTTTGCACATGCATTTATAAGAGAAGCATTCAGTGCTTTTACACAAAAAGTGGATTAACGCCACTCCTGCCGAGTCCAAGCATCACTGGCAGTAGCTGCCAGAGTTTCTTTCTACAGGCTAAGTTTCATGTTGCTGTGCTGCTTTAGCAGATGCTTTAATACAATGGTCACGGTTGAAAGCTTTTTGCTGGTCGCACAAAGTGATTCCAACTGCATGTCATCCCCTCTCTCTCTATCACTGTCCAATACAGACAAAAAATGCCTGCAGTCTGATTGTCAGACTATTGTATTGGTTATTTTCATCATTGATTAATCTGTTGATTATTTTCTTGATTAATCATTCAGTAGTTTGGTCTATAAAATGTCAATTGTGAATAGTGTTTGTCGATGTTTCCCAAAGCCCCATATGACATCCCTAAATTTCTTGCTTTGTCCACAACCCAAAGATATTCAGTTTACTGTCATAAAGGAGTGAAAAAAATGACTCAACTGATTAAACGATTATTCAAATAATTAGCAGTTAATTTAATACTCATCTGTAGCAGCTCTATTTTAATTTTAGTTTCATGTCATCATAATTTTACAAGCAACATTTATTTAACAGTCAACAAAGTTTTAAAGGTCTTTTGCACTCAGTTTTTGCTATTATTGACAGCTGTCTGTTTACAGCCTCAAGTAAAAATGTTTTTGTGTTTTCCAGCGTTGTCATAACTATATGACAGAGCATCTGGGGATTCCTGTTTGGGGGTCTTACGTCATCTTTGGCTTGGCCACTCTGTTCTCTGGCCTTGCACTGGGACTGGTGAGAACTCTAGTGAATGCTCCTATGGTGTGCACATTAAGTTCAAACACATACATTACCTGTAAATTAATGGTATTTTTGTTTTGTCTTGACAGTTGCTGGTGTTCATCGCAGATTTTGTCTTCCCCTCGCGGCGATTTTCTTCTCCGGATTACTACCAGAGTGAGTTTCACTTACTAGCCCTTATACATTTATCTTATATTCACAAATGGAGATACAGACACAGATTGTTCATTAACCAGTAGTCAGGTTTTGTTTGTAACTGGTTTTACGAGTGGTCACTCACTGTTCTAAATGTTATTCTGCAGAAAAACAGACAATGCAGCAGCAGAGGTTGCTCCAACGACAAGAGGATGAACATGAGGCCGATGGCGAGGAAGACGATGATGAAGAGGATGACGAGCAGGATGGCGACCAGGATGATGTCTGGAGTAGGAGAAGAGGATCTCCAGAGGGCCGTCCAGAACCTAAGGGACAGGCGTTGTCCGATGAAGCTTTGAGGAAGAGGGTGGTGGGCAAACGTGAGGAGGAGGAAGAGGAGGAGGATGAGGAGGACACTTAGAGAGTCACGTGGCCCCTACTCGTTTGAGAAGAGCGCCGTGTAGTCATCAGAGTGGGAGGAGCATTGGTCCTGAGCAGCAGTGTTTACAGCAGGGAGCCCTAAACTTCCCCCTAACCTCCTCTCTTGCTCCTCCTCCTCCCCTGGGCTCCCAGAAACACCTCACTTCTTTTCTTCTCCTTCCCTTGTTTTCAACAGGAGCGCTTTAGACTCTAACCATCTGAGCAGCAGGCTCCACCTGGAAAAAGCAAAAACACTCCTGACACCTGTTTTCACTTGTGGAAACAAATTGCCTGGCTGAGGTTTAGGTATGAAGTGCAGCAGAGATGGAATTTGCAATGTTGTTTATGCTATGCATCGTTTTTTAAAGATTTGTGTGTTATTATGTGTTTATCTCAGAATTATTACACAAGGCTTGCGTTTGAAGTTTATATTGTAAAATTTTACTATTACTATAGCTAATGTATACATCCAGTTGGTTATGTTGCATATATTTTACAAACCCTGACAGTTCAACCCAACGTAACAGTGTTCACACACCATTCCACATTCAGCTCATAATGGAGAAAAGAGGGAAAAGAAATGGCCTCAAGTGTTACAGTTACTTTTGAAATTAAAGTGGTTACTGTGGTAACAGCAAGTGCGGTTTAATACTACAGCATACACTTGTTGAGTAGCTGCTTTGTCAGATAATAACTGCAACCGCTATCTGATTTCATGCTGCAGATGGCACAAGTAGTTTTCCACACAACCGCAGGACACAGTAAAGTTTTGTATCTTGCTGAGAAGTTGGAGGTGTGCCTATCGTCTGCCGCTCTTCATCCAAGAGCGCTCTCTAGCCTTTTTCAAACATAGTTCCCAGTAAATTACTGGGATAAACATTTTTAAGCTCTGCTGGTGATTTCTTTACTATTCACACATGCAGCCTCATTTAGGAACATTTCAGTCTTGCGCCTTTTCACACGTCATTGCAGTGCTGGAATAGATGGAGCGAGGGACGGTCCAGCAGACGGTGGTAATGCAACGCACATGGATGCCAGCCACCATAAAACTCAACAGAAGCAGAAGATGGGAGATGGCCAGATGTACGTGTACATGACGATGGCAGAGCTGTAAGACGTCTAATTATTTTCAGGAACATGGCGGGTGAGGAGCTGTTTTTCTATTTCTGAATCTGTCAGGATTCCAGACAATCTTAAGAACTAAGCTTTGTTGCAAACAAAATAATTTGTACAATTTGTTGACCAAAACCCCCGCAAAAGCATTTGCAAGGAAGGCAGCCGTAAACAAGTTGCAGATTCAAATACGTCATCAGCAGAGTTTTGTGATTAGTTCGCTAAATACATATGAAAGCATCTTTCGTCAGACAGATGTCACCTTTTACTTGCTTGTCCCTGCAGTGTTGCTGCTTTCACTCACAACACAGCCGTACAGGTGTTTTGAGGTAGGAAATTGGAGGTACAGATTTCCTTGAATACTGATCACTCTTCCTATTCACAAATGACCCCATCCAGTAAATTATTCTGAACTTTTCAGGGGTAGACATCATGTGTGAAAGGGGTTTGCGGCTGCACCATCTGGTTCCATTACTCCCTTGAAAAAAGATTTTATCCACTGATGAAGAAAATGCTGAAAATGACTGCTGTCTTGTTTTGTAGACACGTTTTTTGATAATCGTGATCAGCTCTCACCTTGGTGACAAATACATTGCTTTATAATAAAGGCCACTGAGTTAGCAGTAAATTAATACAGCTATGCGACAGTTTTAGGAGAATGAACAGTAAACAAAGTGTGATAATGAGCTCAAATTAAAAACAATGCTGGATTACACATGTTTTCTTTCTTTTAAATCCCTCATGCGTGGGAAGGCAATTTGAATCAAGTGCAGGAATGGCAGATCCGCCACAAACAATGGCAACTACTGATGTAGTAATTACAGAATGTAAATACATTTAATGGCTACGGCAGGCACAAGTACGTAAGGGGCAGGAACCCTTCTTACAGCATTTGTGTTTTGCTCAATAACTGCACAAAAACATTGACTTTGACTGAGCTGCACTCTTGCCAGTTTGCAAAAAACTAGACCAGGACAGGAAGATGCTAATTTAAAAAAAGGAACTAAACTCAACAATAAATACTAAAGGTCTGGTAAGTGTTGTTCTGTAGATACTATATGTCCCCATAACGTATGAAATAATCAACCAACGGGAGGTTTTATTAAATTTTTTGTTATTGTTTTTTGTTTACTTGTGATTCTCTAATTATTAAGGGATGTTTACTCAAACATCCCAGATGTGTTGTCAACCTGTCTACAGTATACGCATGCTGTAATACATTTAAAGAGTGGAACAATTTAGGGGCTCTCACTCCCTTTTGTAAATTGAGAGAAGTCAGGCATATCCGTCCTAACGCTGTTGTGAAACAGTGCGAGGAGCAGAATGAAGTTGTCTGTGCAACAAAGGGAAGCATAATTTATCCAACTGTAATCTTGTTTTAACCACTTTTAATTTGACTTTTTTAAGGCTGAAAACTTTTAATTGAGACCTGAACTTCTGAGGTTAATTTACCTAAATTTGTGCCATTTTGTGGACATTTGTTTCTTATTGAAATCATGAACAAATTATCACTTTGATGCCTATTTCTAAAATATTAATGCCACTGTAAGCATAGCCTGTATGTATTTCAGTCTAGTAGAGCAAAAAGGTGTGTGTGTGTGTGTGTGTGTGTGTGTGTGTGTGTGAGAGAGAGAGTGTGTGAGAGAGTGTGACACACTTCACTATTTCCACGACGCTTATAATGACTGGCATAGACTTTGATTTATTTTTATGCTGCTTTCTATTCCCAAAAAGCAAATTACTCATTTCAGTGATTGTTGAAACAGGTTGTGATTTTTTTAATTTTTTTTTATACCCGACCACTAAGTATGGCTTGTAGCATTCACACTTTACTCTGAGCAGGCTGTGCTTTTATTGTTTGAACATTTCTTTGAATAAAGAGTTATCTCTGACAACAGTCTCACTTTTGCTCCTTCTGCTGCTTCCAATAGTTAACTGACACAAATATGTTCCACTAGTATTTATAATCATCTGTGATGCACAAAGAAGGAAATAGAGTTGTTCACAGCTGGAAAACATTTATAATGCAGATGGTGCCGAGACAACTCTGGGAACATCCTGAAAAGCAAAGAAGTATCAGATACTTGGAGAAACACTTGCCAAAATAGTGATATGAAAGAATATGATAGAACATACTGTAGCAGTGGTGGATGAAGTATACATATTCTTTAATACCACAATGGAAACATACTGCAGTCCTGCTTTTAAAATCCCACTTAAGTTTAAGTACAATTTTATCAGAATATGTCCTTAAAGTATCAGAAGTAAAAGCACTGCTTCTGCAAAGCAATGTCCCCGGTGATGAACATCAGATATCATGCCATTGTTAATCCTGTTTCATCAGTGCGTAGCTGGTCGAGGTGCAGGTAGTTTTAACTAATTTATATACAGTCCAGTGGTTCCCTACCTAGGGTTTGGGGACCTCCAACGGGTCACAAGGTAAATCTGAGCTGTTGTCCTTCAACCCAAATGTGACACAAGGTCTTGTATGTTGGGAGTCACCGGTTTAATCTTTAACAATACATTGTGTTATATTATGTATTATATCCTAGTAGCTTTAACGGAAGTTAATGTTGTGGAATGAAAAGTGCAGTATTTCCTTCTGAAATGTAGTGCGGCAGAAGTAACACAGTATCAAAAAGCAATACCCCACTGAAGAAGTATCTCAAACTTATACTACAGAGTTTGAGTAAATGTACTTGGTTACTTTACACCACTGCATATGGTAAATGCTTCCCGGTATTTGCATTACACAGGTTGAGGAGACGATTTTATCACAAAGATCAAAACACCACGCTGTTTTTCATCGTCACACTCAAATTCAGATTATTATTATTTTTTTTAGCATGACCTTAAGTCAGTTGTTAGCAGGTTGCACAAGATGTACAATGTATGTGATAATTCAGATTTATTTTTATGAAACAGGACAATACATTAAATGTACATTACTACAAAGCATATAGGCTAATAACTGAAAAACAAGTCTTAAAAAATAAATAAATAAATAAAATATATTACAGTGAGCTCAGGCCCTTGCCAGCAGATGTCACTCTTGCACTCATTCTGTTCAAAATATAAGGCAATGTTTATTAGTATAGCACCTTTCAACAACAAGGCAATTCAAAGTGCTTTTACATTGGAAATAAAAGACAGTAAGAAAAGAAACAAGGCAATATAAAAAGACTCATTAAAATAAGATTTAGAGGAGTAATATAAAACAGGAGATAAAATAAGATAAAGAGTAAAACAGATATAACAGGAGAATAAAAAGATGCTATATAAGCACACAGCAGACAGGAATATCCACCTAAGGAGCTACACATATATCACAGCAGAACACTTTAGGGAGCAGGTGACAGGAAATGTACAGTGGCACTTAATGTGTGTTGGAGCAAATGTAAAACTACAGTGAACATTTCCTTCCATTTGTTCTCCCGAGGCTTCCCATTTCCTATGGGAGAGACCCTCTTGAGTGGTGTTACTCCCACTGGATGAAGAGGGGAGCTGGTCTCGAGAGTGGATGTCTAATCAGTGCAGTCACTGCAGCTTGAGTAGCCATGTGTACATGCTCTGTTTAGCAGAGTCTAATGTGCTCGAGGTGAAAGGGGAGGAAGGTGTTTGAAGGGATTCCCCTGCTGTACCAGCCTGCTGCAGGCAGGCCCTTTTGATGTTTCAGGGCAGTGAGATTGTAGTGTATGCGAAACGCTGAGCAGATGCTTGATAAAAAGCCGCCTGCACTCTAAACTGATTTATCGGGCACATACAGATTTCTCTGCACTGGATAGGCAGTCGGCTGTTTTATTGTTCTGCAATGTAAAGTAAATGCAGATGGCACTGCTACCGGTTTAGAGGTTTCTGTTCATTTACTTCGCTCTGGTCCATATGGTTTTCTGTTTTCCTTGTTTTCACTTTAACAGGAAAGTTCTGAAATGTCTGCAGCAAAGTAAGATCATGATAACACATTTAAGACACATTTGGATATTTTTTATAAAATAATTTTATCCTCCTTGTTGGCCCTTAACAGTGTGGCTCTATGGATGGCAATGTTGGTCAATTGGTCCACCACTTTGGTCCAGACTGAAATATCTCAATAACTATTTGATGGATTGTCATTCAATTTTGCACAGATATTCATGGTTCCTAAAAGATGGGATCCTAAGTCTGACTTTAACTCTAGATGAAGTTGAGGTACAGAGTGAAATATCTTGACAAGGCACAGGAAAGGTCAGATCACAAAAATCATTAGAATTTGTACAGACCTTGACTGTTGAAACACATCTGATATCTCACCATGCATGAGCATGTTAGCATGCTAAGGTTAGCATTTAGCTCAAATCGCCACAGTAAATACCATTTGGGTGAAAATGAAAGTTGAAAAGACATCTTTTATTCTATGATTTAAATACAACCTAATCAAATTCATATCTGATTTTTAAAAAGACTAACAAAAACATATATTAAAAAATATACAAAAACATCACATTCACGTTCCAGTTTAAGCACTACCGCTGCTACACTATAAACTAAGCTGGTTATATAAACTGTCTCAAGCAAACTGGCATACGATCTTGAGTGGATTTCAGTATTTATACTCACTCACCTTCCTGTCTGTCCAGTTACCCAAAGAGGCTTTAATCAAGGGCAACTGGACGTGGTTGAAGATGTTTTGCCTCTCATCCAAGAGGCTTCTTCAGTTCTAACTGACTGGCAGGAAGTCCCAGGTTACTTGAGAGGCAAAACTTCTTCAAGTATCTTCAATCAAGTCCAGTTGCCCTTGTTGTAACCCACCCTGGATGACTCTCAAAATGGAAAAAGGTAGCTGCTCGCTGACAAATCACTATTTACAATCAGCCAGTTTGATGTGATCAGAGAAAATGCGATTGGTGGCAGTCATTTTGTCCAGCATATTGCCAAAATTCATGTTATTCTTTAAGCGCACCTGTTTTTATTTGTTTTTATGCTGTGTAGGCAAATATTGTTAAAACCCACAGAACTGTATTTTTAATTCTAGTTTCTAAAGTGACCAAACATATCAGGCTGAATTTGGGGGAAATCTGTGTAAAATGATGAAAGGAAGCTATTTAGAATATTTAATAGGATGGATTGTACAGCCAGAAGAAATTATGCCTTGGGTTTCAATATTTAACTTAGTGAAAGCTTGTGAAGTGAATACAGAATGTGAAGCTGTCAGACAATGTGGAATAATATGATTTAAGAACTTTTAAGCTACAAATGGGGAAACAAAAGGAGAAAACTGTGAATCAAGGAGTGGGTGTGGAGCCACAGTTTTACCGCTGCCGAGTTGCAGTGGTCCGGGTGTCTCTTAACCACTGAGGAGGTGAAGTAAGTGTAGATGTCCAAGAGTGACAAACAGAGTGAGTGTCAGTCTGAGATATGAGATGGAGAGATTTCACACTGAGATGAAGAACATTCCACACTACAGGGATGTTTACATAGGAGCTCAATGACCGTAGCAGAATGGAAGAAGCATTCAGATCCAGAAATACAATGAAACAAAATTCTGTTAGACTGGGGGAATGCCTGTTAATTCTCTTCTCATATAAATCCCTGCATACTTAACTCTGCACCAGTCCAACCTGTGCAGGTCTAATCAGCAGCATAACTCAAAAAACACCTTGTTTTATGTATGGTTGACCTTATGTTTTGTATGTGAAATCAAGGCAACTAGCACTTAAATATATGTTGTAGAGTAAGAAGCACAACATTTATCACTGAGATGTACTGGAGTAGAAGTATAATGTAATATAAAAAGTAAAGTACAAATATAAAACTGTTCTAAATTGCAGTAAGTAAAAGTGCAAAGAGTATTGAAAGTATCATAAGTAAATGTACTCATTGGATAGCAGAATGGCTCCTGTCATAGTAATGCTACAAAAGTAGGCTATATACTATATTATCAGCTTATTTGTACTATAACATTACTATTTATTTTGTATACAATCGAGGCGGAGTTTAACTTTTTTTGTGTACGTTATTATTTGTTAGTTTAACCCTTAAAAATAGATAATTTTAGGAACTCATAGGTTTTCTGTGTAAAATTACACTAAGTAACCAAAGCTGTCAGATAAATGTAGTAGAGTAAAAAATATAATAATTCCATGTGAAATGTAGTGGTAAGTCTAAAGTGGCAAAACATGGAAATACTTAAAGTAAAGTATCTCAAAAGTTTACATACATACAGCACTTGGGTAAATGTACTTAGTCTCTTTCCATCACTTGTGAGGTCCTCTCAGGGCTGGTATTTATCAAGCTTCTCAAAGTGCCATTTTAGTCTTAAGTGCTGAGAATTCATGAAATGTACTACTTTTAAACTTAAGAATAAAAGCAAGTTATCAAATTTCTTAAAGCTAAGAGTCACTCTTACTCTCCCAGTTACTTAAGAGAGCTCCAGAGGTCTCTCAAGTGTTTAGGAGCTGCCTGTAGTCTCCGTCTCCACAGTGATGGCACTGTGGAGACGGAGACATGCGGAGAGGAGAGGAAAAATTCTGACGGCGCGCAGTTAATAAGACGGGGTCGGACAGCGCAGGCATAATCTTTGTCAGCGAGTTGGGAAGGGACGTCATCTCACCACTGACTTTAAGCAATAATGCGTTTTCAGCTAAACGGAAGGTGGTGATGATGACACTTTGTTTCTTTGCCACAGGACAAACGCAGCAATGCTGATGATTTTGGCCCGTCACAACCATCAATAAGCCGAATAATCATGGAAACAATTACAGCACTTAGGCTACAGCTTTGGCGACATCGTCGTCCAAAATCCTGTTTGCGGCACAGCAAAATGTCGGAAATCAGCACTAAGACTGACACTTAAGATTTATTCCTACACTTCACTCAGATTAGGACTATGATGCTTGATAACTAACTTTTAAGCACAGC